TCCATGAAATTATTCAGGAAATAAAACGAAACGGGATGAAATATACTTACTGGATAGATATCAGATAAATTTTGTGATGTGGCTGGACGTCGATTACTAGCTGAACTGAGTGAGACCATGAAACAACGATGCCGATGATGTTAATGACGATAATAATAACAGTTATGATAGTGATCCTATGGTAGTTATAGACGATCACAAGTATTATCCAGATAAAATGTAGTTACATGCAATTCAGATAAAATCAGTTGCCTAGTTAAATGACATTTATAATTAGTATGAATAATAGATGACTTGATAGTGTGCAAAGGACGAATGTGGTCAATAATACTCCTAGGATTGGTCACAAATAGTTTTTTATTATTGTTTATGCTTTATACCGTCATGTTTAAAACGCATCGTTTATACATCTATATACATGCCTATTCATTTGTCGACGGTGTTGTACATTTCTCTCTGCATATGTCTATCTACAAGTGGCAATTTTTGAGAGTAGTTACATACAACTGACTAACCTATGTGAATAGTGACAAAAATTGGTGTCCTCGATTCTTGTTCTTCTTCTTTAAGTATACTTTACAGTTGTATTAACTCTAAAGCATAACTTTCCATTGGGTTGATATCTTAAAAGCTACCAAATCAACCAATAGGATTGATTGTCTCATCTATGTTACTAAGACAACAAGTTGTTAATGTTTGTTTTTTCCAAAACAAATAAGTTACAATCTATTTCTACAATTATATTTCTAGACCTAACATGACAATTTTAGACTGTCCAGTTACAAGTAAGGGGTATCATTTTTGGCCTCTCCTCCTTCAGATGTTCAGACCAAGTTCAGTCATGATAGTCTCTCTGTCTCTCTCCATTTCTACATATCTCACACCCAATGTACATTACAATATTTATGCAAATTAAAAAAATCTTTCAATGATCAGAAATGAGAAAACAGACTAACAATTAAAATCGATTAGAAATGGTCACTATCCATCAGCCTACATTACATTTACTCACTAGTGGGTAATCGGTTTTCACCAGTTACCATAGTAACCAAGTAATGTTTGTTTTGAAAACTATAACAAAAGTTTTCTTACATAAATTATTTACTCTTACAACCAATTGGTATCAGAAACTGAATGATGAAAATTATCCTATTGGATAGGAGTAATATTCTTCAAAGTCGGTAATACCTGTCGACCGATTTGATAAATTTGATTATTCAGTTTCATGAAAGTTGATATTATAAATTAAATGCTAAATATGTATTCCATCTCATTTTAAAACTCATTATTAGTACTTGCTCACGAGGACTTATTCAGACTGAAAGAAAAAGCCGCGTTTCTATCTTGAAATCACTGGATATACTTATAAACCAAAAAGGAATCAAACATTACACAAGTCCGATGACCTCGTTAAGCAACGATATACTGTAACCCTTGAAACAAATCATCAGAGAAGAGAAGGTAATTTGTTGAGTTGTGGTGAACAGAAATATTTGTACTTCCTACTGTTTTCATCAAGAGTACAACAGTAATAGATAAGTTCAGCTGGGATAACAAATAAGAATCCGCCTTCTGGCTTAGGAAACACAATGACAATTACTTGTCAGGAATGATAATTTACAGAAGTCAGCTTCATGATCGGCATTTCGAGTAGCCAGTGCTGATGGTAAACGTTTAGGGCAAATGGGCCGAAAGGGAAGTTTTTATAGGGACTGATGACATACCAGGGATTAAATGTTCAAGAACAAAATAAACCTGAAATTCTAGCAGGATTTTAAAGAGATGAATTTTCAACTGTTGACATAAACGTAAACATTTGCTTGAATTGTTGGTGTTTTGTTTGTCATTTCTCAATTTTATAAAATGTAAAACTCATTATTTCCAGTGACAGAATTAAATGCAGTCACTATTCTGTTACCAAGCTACCGTAACTACAATGTTCAATTACTTAAGAGTATTATCACTACTGTTTTCCTTTTTGTTTAGTCATTGTTACTATTAGTTACATAAACGCATAACTTTTCACATGAGATATATATTTTGCTTAACATGAATATTGACTGAAATTTCAGATTATCGTTTATATTTAGCTATTGAACAGTTCCGTTAGTATTATTTTATTCTTGAAAGTAGCATATAACATTACCCACCTACATCTAGTTCGAAATTCAAGCCTTAAGCTGATTCGCTATTATATGATGCCCTTCAGATTGTCCTTGGTCATCGATTTGTCTGTTCAGAATGTTAGAAAAATCTAACATCGTCCTGAAGTTTTGTGATAAATTCACGTACGTATTGGTAAAAAAGTGAGATATTGAAAATATTTGCCAAGCTGTGTGACACCTGATCGATTGGAAGGTCGTTATCACAAAGAAAGATCAAAGTAAATAGAATAGGTTATGTAGCTGATCACTACCAAATCACGTCATTTTTGAATATAAACTAAGCAAACAACCACAATATTATGAAAGTAACCTTCATTAACCATGAATATCAGCAGAACAGGTAATGAAAATCTTCTGGAGCATACTCTCGATCCCCGGAGATGTAATAATAGTGGTGATATACACCTGAAATCTTGATCCTTCAATTTTTTTGAGGCAAACTTGCAGGTCCAACCTGCATTTAGGTTGGCAGAAGTGGAGAATATCGTCGAGCGCGTGGCGCATTTTGATGGTTGTTTCAGTCATGCCAAGAGGTGCCAGAAATTCCCAGTCAACGAATTCGATTTGGCTCAACTTTTTTTATTAACATGATGCTACAATTCATATGTCTAACGAATAAGTGCATGCTTACGGTGGCACAAAACTTAACAGGACCACTGAATAATTAATGATTCCAGCTACTTATTCAGCACACCCCGAGTTCACACTCAAAGTAAAAAGAAAAAGCCATAAGGTCAGTGTCATATCACTTCAACGGTAAAAGACTAATGCCTTTAATGTAAAGCTATCGTGTGGGCATGACTCTGAACAAAGAAAAATGATTAGCGCACTGAAAGATAGATTCAGTCTATGAAAAAGTCAGCTGGGAATATACCCGTAAAAACCATCGTATTAGAGATGAAAAAAGCGCAGGCCCAATATATATTAACAGAAGTTTGTTGTCAATCAGGCAACCTTCATCTTATGCTGTTTCTTGTATTATCCAGTCGTTGATTGGAGCGAACTGATCGGTCTCTATTGGCCTATGAACTCCTGTGCAGATGCCTCGATATTTCCGGTACTTTTGGTTTTGATATTAATGATAGAAAGTGGCCAACAGTGAAATCCGGGACGCGCATTTCATCCTATTTGGTACTCATCGGCTGGATATGCCCGCCTCCTAGTGAGCGATGCTGTTCTGACTCGAGTCCTAGTCTCCATATAACCTTACGATAACTACTTGTTGAAGGTCATGTTTAGCATCAGACTGACTGTTTTACTTTCTTAAAGTTCTTGTCTTGTCCTTGGTTCCCACTTAAGGTATCAGTGGGTAACACATACTCAGTCAGTGGGCTTACAATTAGGTTTATTGATTTCCCTTACTTCGACCTTAAAGTACTCAACATTTGACTGCGTTGGGTTATCAGCTACGGTACAGTCATACAATAGATACATCATCATCTGTCAGTTATTATTCATGCTCAGTCAATTTAAATTTACTAGAGATTGCAAAACGACGTTAGACAAGAAAAACAGAATTATATTTGAGGACATTAAAATTTGGCAACTAGAGTCAATTTTACAGAAATATGTGGATTTCCCTGACAGAGTGACCTGAATGCCCCACGGAGGAAGTTATTAAAGACACGATAGGATGTAAATGACTCATAAAGTGATAATATGCCTTTTAATTAGACATAGGTTGACGATAAAAGACTAAAACTGATTGGTTACACAATCATACTTTCTTCAAGTGATCAACTGAGAAGCAACAAATTGAGTCATTCCACCGTCTGACTAATAAACAAACACCACTTATCGATGCATCTAATCAAGTGCGAAATTTAGATTTCAGCTCCTTAGTATGCGACAATAAAGATAACATACATTGATAACTGTTCCATATTCTCCTAGCTTTGCTGTTTATTTTCAAGGTTTCACCATTAGGTTAGGTGACTTCATCAGTTCTAACTTCACACAGAATTAAGGCATTTTCAAGTTGCAACCATTTTCATATCATAAACTGGGTAAATATCAAATTAATTGGCTTGCGGGCAGCCGGTTGATTCCTCCTAAGCACTTCTTGTATTGGGTCTTTGTCTACATGCCTGTTGACTGCCGCTTCGTCGGGGCAGGGCTTTCAAGTATCTCGCTGTAGTCATTGAATTTTTGCGTATTTGTGTTCATCTACATGAATTAATATTAATGATGATGTTTCATACCGCTCGATTGGCAGCTGATGCACGTAAATTCTCGAGGATATCCAACGATCTAAATGACCAACGCAGTATTGGTAACAGTCTCTGCAACTAGCTTGGTAAATTGATATTTCAGCTGGTATGGTATATTTTGTTGTGTTTAGGTTAATTTGTCTACCATGCTGATGCTCAACTTATGAAGTGGTTGTTCGACAACTTCTGAGGTACCTCTAATATATGGTAAAATGGTTTGTTCACGAAGAAAAGTCAGAGGCTAGAAAACATCGAATAATTACAGTCCTGATCCTAAATCTGCAAAAATTGCATACAATGCACTATAGCACTGTGGTTGGGAAGAAACGATATTTGTTATTATGGATAGCATTGCTTACTGAGGATCAATTTTTCTGTATGGTTTATCAATAATGTCTTGGACTATGGTTATGGTTGACCAATAAGAGTTGAAAAATTTAACAATTACGTTGACATTACTTGTTCAAATGGAACTGATTTCAAAATTGTCCTACAGACTAGCCATATAAAACAATGATATCAAAATTAAGCATATTCGTGCTTAAACACATTATAATAATCCAAAATAAAAACCTTTTGAGGAAAGTCAACAAATCTAACAACAACAATGATCTTGAATACTAACCATATTTAATTTTAGAATTTCCTTCTCAGCTTCAATCTTTTGTTTAACAGCATCATCCAGTTGAATGCGTAAACGTTTTGTCTCTTCTTCAATCGACTCAATTTCATGTCGATGTTCATCTTTCAGTGTTAAATTTGCTTTACTCAACTGACATAATTCTTCAACTAAGGCTTTATTGTGATTTTCTGTAGATAAAGAATTATATGTGAACACAGTTTTTGTAGTTAAATTCAATGGAATGTATTAAGAAACAGCATTGATCCATGGATTTCGTTAGTCACCTCATAGTTGTAAAAAAAGCTGGGAGCTTGCTTTGTTCCCTTGTTACTGAGTTCAACAGTGTTATACTTCGATATATTCAGATGAGAAAAGAGTAAATTTTTTTGCGAATAACTAAATTTGGCCAACTGATTTGGATCAGTAGTTGAAAATACCAACTGAGCCGTTCTCAAATGATTTAGAAATTATTCATGAATTTAATATTTGCTGGAAAGCGGTTTTTGCCATAGAGTGATATCATTTTGAGAGTCACTGAAAGAGTGGGATCCCTGGAAAATCGTTTCCTTTCCGTTCGGGGTACTAAATACTGCGTACCCACGACATTATGAAGGACCATAGTTATGATCATCAAGCCTGGCCAAATGGTTGAATGTTAACTCACTCATCGTGGGACCTAACGGTTATGGGCCTGCACCACTGAGGAGCTACAAACTATGGCAAAACAGTATCTTCAAGCGTCCAGGTTTCAAGAGGTTCTAAAACTATTTGAAAATCATGATAAAAACTACTGTGAAATCAACCAGCCTCCAAAAACGAGAACTGAGTTAATATTCATGTTTTGATAATGAACTAGCTTTAGTTGGTTGTGTTAATTCTCTGTCATATAAGTCTTTATAATACGAACTTGTTTTCAATGCATTCAGGTTTTATTGCAGAACAAATATCTCAGTCCACGAAATGTTCTCATTTGGTTGTAGGAAAGAAAAGACGGTTACAGCTAAGAGGTTTTTCTCTCTAAATCTCATTTAGCAGGCTACGCATTTCATAAATGTATATTAAGAAAAGTACAGCATTCCAGAAGAACTTATCGCTTCTGGTCAAAGTGCAGTGCGTATTACAAAGGTCCATGTGTGCATATACAGGGTGACTATAATTGCGCAATACAAATATGAATTTGCAATGAGGAGGTAAACAGAAAAGGCTGAGATTGTATATGATTTTATCAACAGAAAAGTATGTAAGCTGGAAATAATGTTCAACTACAAGTCAAAATCATGAAACAAATGGAAGTGGAAGGTACCTTCTTTCCGATCCGCAGAAGCCGCTCAAAACTGTATACTGTTTGCGCTGAAATCCATTTAAGAAACCTTATGGTGATCACTTCGATGAAAACTTGAAAGGTTTGTGGAATAATTTTATTGCGCCTCAGGTTACCATCATATCAGTAGGCGTTTTATACCATAGCCAAACATTTTCCTCTCACAGCCATTAAAATACATAAGTGTTTTTCATCGTGTTTTGCAAACAACTGCATAGTATGGTGAATGTGACTTAGTTTTGTGGGAATATGTAAACTTGTGAAGATACACTGGTGTCGCCCTATATATTGATTGGTCTTTCATAGACTTACAGATGAGTTTCCGATAGAAGAATACAGTTAAAAGTATGTGGCTCAAAATTTCTGCTCAATACTAATTTATTCTCTTAGTTCATCTGACTTCAGAGTATCCTTACATATGTTTTGATCATCTAGGCAAGTGGAAGTTAACTCCGATATTCTTGATCAGTGAAACTCAGCTATCAGTTCTAAATAGATTTCTTGTAAATATCTGCCTAGCCGAATCATCATTTCTCTCTTCGAGATGAATATGGAAATCTAACTTTCCAGCAAAAGTGCAGAAAATTAATTGGTCATTTCAATCGTTACCATGGTGGCCTTTAAGGTGGCCCTTTTAAAGCAGGATTTCCAGGTACAGATCATACTTGTAAACAGCGACAATATCATTGAAGTATTTTTTAGAGAAACGAAACTGATTATAGTTGACTAGCTGAGATATCTCAAACTTATCATAAGTCAGTAAACCAAGTGTTATCTGAAGCAGAATCATATGGCTACAATGCATGCATGCCAGCAGATTTTATTACTAAGCCTTGAGATTACATTGAAACTGCATCTGAGAAAAAACTCTTTAAGGAATCGAACTGAAATATTTTGATTGTTAGTGCAAGCGGCACTACTCACCAAGTTGTGTTTCGATGGTATAGTAATTAGGCTTGAGACTCTTCAGCTGCTTACAAAATCGACCATCCTTAAGCTCAAAACCAGTCACCTATTGTTCAAGGGTATATCCATAACTGGTGTGTCAATTATTTGTGGTCCAATGACAAATAATTCTTAACAGAAATAAAACAGAAACATCGGACATGCTCATGCCACTATTGCAGAACCTTTGCAAGGAGAGAAGGAAAGGCAACTGCCCGTTGACTGAAAGAAGGTCTACATCGTCAAACTCTCAAAGAAGGGAGACGTGACCCTCTGCAAGAACTGGCAAGCAATCATGCTCCTGTCACTGCCAATCACAAACAAAATATTACGCCGCATCAGACTGATGAGACTAAACATCTCTCCGGATTCAACAGCATCACGAACAGAACACGCTGACTGGCCACCTGGCTGGTTGACTGACTTCAGGATGAACAAATCATGTGCGCATCAAATTGCAACGCAATGCTACACTAAGCATCATCAAAGAATACAGTGTAGAATGCCAGTCAACTCAACTCAACCTCAACATCATCGACTTCGAAAACGCATGCCTTTGATAGCATCCACTCGACGAGAAGTAATTTGGAAACTGCTTCAACACTACACAGTGAGTGCCACAAACACTCAGCAATCAACCTCATTCAACAGCAGCTATATATTATGTGATGCTATATGCCAAGTAATTCACAATGGAAAGCTGAGAGACACCTTTGAATTGAAGGCAGGAGGGAGTAAGACAAGGTTGTCATCTACCATCGCCGATGATCTCCCTGATTGTGGTCAACTGGACTGGACTGGACTGGACCGGACTCGATCATGCAGTAAACTATGAGGAGCGAAAAGAGGGGCATACGCTGGCTGGAGGGATGAAGAGACCTCAGAAGGAGATATCAATTTCACAAACCACCATGATGATTTGTGTCTAATGTCTAATGTCACACAAACTCGAAGATGAACAGGTGAAAACCAACAAGTTGCTAAAAGAGGCGGGGCACGGCATTGAACACTGGACTTCCTTCAGGTGAACGTAGACAAGACGGAGGTGATGAATACACCAAACTAACAACAACAGCACCAACAAAAATTACCAACCACCACGAATGGGAGAAATGTGAAGGGAGTTGTCTCTTTCACCTGCCTACCTACCTACCTACCTAACCACACACCCACCCACCTAAATACCTACACACCCACCCACCTACCTACCTACCTACACACCTACTCACCTACCCACCTACCTACACACCTACCTAGACCACATCGTTTCAACTACAGGCGGCACAAACACACATGACGACGTCGAAACCATGAGCGGGAAAGCAAAACAGGCCTCCATTAACATGAAATCAGTGTGGAGATCTACTGAACTACACTGTACTGTACTGTACTGCACTGCACTGCACTGAACTGAACTGAACTCAGAATAAAGCCTGAACAAGATCCGGATTTTCAACACCAATTCAGTCAAGTAAGTCACTACTTCCACATGATGGTTGAGAGACTTGGCGCGTTACGAAAAGCATTTCCAACAAACTGCAGACATACATCACATCAACAGCTACCACCTACTCTCACTCCACACTGAAGATCAGATCAGATCAGATCAGATCAGATCAGATGGATGACCAAAATGATAAGAATAAGCAAGAAGGAAGTGTGGCTGGCAACGAACCAACCAAGAACCTATCAACCAACAAATATGTAGAAGGAAGTGGAGATGCATTCAATTGGATTGGATATACACTGAGAAGATGGTTTGTGGACATCAGGCGTCAGGTTAGGTGAGGTCGTCGAGTGTAAGCTGAATTGGAAATAACGAGTTGGTCGTCTGAGGTGAGGTTGATATGGGGGAAATGTTGTTAGGAATAAATGAGAGCTAGTGTGGAGTTGTGGAGCGAGGTTGACAAAACTGCTGAGAAGAGGGTGCGATGAAGACGTACCACTGAAGCCCTATTTTCCACTAGGAACCCAAGGGACAAATAATAAATGCAGTAATACTAATAATCATAGAATGACAACAGTGATGTCTGCAATAACAACTTCGGATAACCCTTCACACTATCGAATCGCTTAACATCGTAGGTCATAACGATGTCCTACAGGAAACTCTAATGATTTCCTTGACCATATTTTTGTTTTATTCTGAAGAAAATTATCTATTCGCACCTATGGCATTTATCGTATTGCTCAAAAATTGGTAACCTACATGACCACCTTAATACCGCTGAGCCAAAAAATAGAATTTTACCAGATTATATTCTCAGTCTTATTCAACGCATCATACAGTAGAACTAGTGATCATCCGATATATAAAACTGCCTACAGATATAAGGAGAAATTGACAGAAAAATTTCGGGAATTATACAAAATGTGCATGGTTTCACCTGACAGACTAGCAGAACTGACCTTCAGATATCTATATCTTGTTAATATTGGCTATTAAAAAAACTCATATTCTTGTTTAATGTTTGCTTAATACTTCACGTATAAGTAAGCTTTATATGTCTTGTCATATAAGCATTTTTGTTCTACTCTACTGGGTTTGACTGGATGCTAGACGAATGGTCGAAACGATGTGACTTAACTTGACCGGTTGTTATACGCTTATGAGATGAAACTGTAGATACCCTGCACTCCAATTCATGCTATACCTAACAACAAACCGTTTGTGAGGAAGGTATTTTTTATGTTGACATTCTTTATGGACTGACATCACATATAGAACCTTCGGAAACCTGTGAATACTGGATATCAGTTTCGTCTTAGTATGAGACTTCTCGACAGTCCACACCCATGACCCTGCCAGGGGTTTGTTACCCGTAAATAGAAACCTATAATTCTGTCTCTTATCCCATCTTTAAGCAATAATTAGCTTTCATTCTTGTCTTTCTTCTGATACCAACTCAGTGGGGATCTATGAACGGTTATCATTTGGCTGTCTCACTTTAGTTTATCGAGGTGTTTCATTGCAATGGAAATCAAGTCAGTTGTGTGTGTAAAAGTGAAGTGAGTAGAAATATATAAATAACCAGCTGATTTTCATAAACACTTAACTTACCTAAATCACGTTCATTTCTTCTTCCAACCGAGATTTGTTCTTCACTAATAGCTAATTTTTCAGATAAACTTCTGTTTTGTTCTGATAATCGTTCAATTTCATTATTCAGTTCTCCAATTAATTTGTTATATTCTTTACGTGCTATATTACTGCGTGGTGGAGTTTTCTCTAGGCAAGCTGTCGGCATGATGGTCACTCTAATCTCCTGTTCTTTTCTATTATGTTTTGTTTGTTTGTTTTTAAAATACTGTAATCTAAGAGAATACGTGGTCAAAACGATTCACAATTAGTGAAGTAGCACTGCTTTACTTTTCATATAAGATATAAATAAATTTGAGGTCATTCAACAGGAGGTCTTCACTATTTGACCTGGAGTTTTGCGCTTATTGATGATCATTATCAAAGTATATCTGTAATCGCGAACAAAAATATGAGCTTATATCATGCACTACTGAAACTATAAATTCAGTGAAGATTTTTCTGGGTATTTATTTATTGATTTCAAGTTGATATTCATCAAGTATTGACATCACCTGGAGAATAATCGAAGATATGAGAGCACTAGGGTAAAATATCTCTCCAGCTGACATCAGTTTGTGATGAATAACAGGTTGAAATCAGCTACTTTATCACTAAGCTGTTGAAGTTGCAACCAAATGCTTACAGAAGTGGATTGTGTAAAGGAATTGTTCATGAATGTATCTATCAAACCCTAGGCAGTGACCAGAATCTATCGATCAGGCATGCAATGTATATTTCGTTTAGTATAGAATGTTCAGAACAAATCACCTATCATCTTCACTGCACCTTGGTTTCATTGTTGTTGGCACTCACCAGTCATATGCATTCCTTCGAAGAATTGCAACTGTTACCGATTAATTCTTATTTATCATTCTTTTGTATCATTTCTCAGTACTGATTACCGTTAGCCAATCAATGTGTGCACTACAAATAAACAACACTTTGACAAATATCTGAAGTAAGAAGATGTAAGGTTACTAATTATACCCCATAATCGTTTCGGATGCTATTGCAGTATGTACGAAGGTTAGTTAAACCGTTATGGCTCAGTACCTAAATAAAGAAATGACCACCGAGATGACATGGTTATCAGTGACACAATGCAGAACACCTGTCAATCGTCAGCAGCGTAAAATAGGTGAGATAAGCAGTTAGTTTATAACCACAACTTACGGTTATAACTGAGTGTGAATGGAAGTTAGACTTTTCAGAGTTATATGAAATAATATGCTATGGAATTAGTTCCTATTATGGACCATTTTCAGCCAAGAGTGGATCTGTCAAATAATTGAAAATTCAACTTTTAAAAATGATAATTTTGAAAGACTGAATTCATATCCACAGACTTAGATATATTGTGTTTTTCATGTCAGCTTATGAAATTCGGTAGTAGCATGGAAGGAGTCGAGATTCTCTGCTATCAACACGTTGAAGTCTGATAAAACATAATCTGGCAGACTTTTTGTACTTTAATTCAACCTCTACTATATGATAAATATAGTTATATACCATGGTTGTATGATTTAGGTGTTGAAATCAATTGTACATTTGACCTAATTCATATAAGAAATTCATCAGTTGAACTGTGAATAAAGATGTGCATAATATATTATGCATCATTTAGCTTCCAGATTATTGTTTAAAACTCACCCTAACAAATATTTTTCTTCCAGTGGCTCGTAAATAAAACCAGACTTTGAAAGGAATCTTTTTCAGCAATTTAATAGTTTGGAAACATAATTCATTGTCATATAAGAAAACACATGGATTTACAGCCGGTTTGAATTATGTCTTGTCTAAGTAGAGTGATAAACTATAATTCTACTCACAGAGTTCATTCTATTCAATGTAAAATTTAAAAAGCCGCGCACAGGGATTTTCAGTAATAAAATGAAGAATGAAATGCTTCAGCCAACTGCCTGATGGTAGAGTGAAAATTCTCCTAGGTGAATAGATGATGAACCATTGGTAACCTTTAGGTTTCACTGCTCTGCTGATACATGATCAAACAGCCTATTGGGAGGGTGCTAAATAAAAACACAAATAGGATTCAAGTTTTCTGTCTAGTCCAACAATCATTTTTATTTCAAGCCGTTTTTGGCTTCAAAACTTCTGGAGGAAAACTCACTTTATTGATTGAAATTATGTGAATAAGGATGTACTATTTATGCCTGTGAAATAAAACCCAGTTACATCCACTGACTAATAATTATACTCTGGGTCGTTACTGAGGGATGATTGAAAGTAAAGTGAAAATCTGGGCCACAGCAGGATTCCAACCAACAACCCAGAATTCATAAAATTCTGATAAACCAGGCCTATTTCAGATACTCAAACTGATAATACACGGGGTTCTCAGCGATTTTTGAGACTGATGATTAGAATTTATTTAGTATAGGAAATTTATAGATTATCTGGAATTATTGGAAGAAAAACCTAGAATTTTAACCACAGCATTACTAGTGCATTACCAGTGAGTAGCAAAAAAAGTGCCAAATATGCTTAACCTTAGGCGAAAATTACAGACGATCACCGCGAACTCTAACTTAATGAAGCCTAAAGTCTGAGAAAATTCATATCTGTTTCTGCTTATAAACTTAGATTTTATTTGGATTTATACTTAAATTCTCTGCTATGCTGTGTTTTATCATGATATTCTTTTTCTCATTCCCAGCTTATGGTAGATTAGGTTATAGATACTAGGGGATAATTGAACAGTAGAACAAAAACCTGAGTCTCAGAAGAATTCAAACCAGCTACTTGAGATTTTTATTTCACCTCTAATGATCACCTGTTATCAATAACAACAGTCAGTCAAATGATAACTATCCCAAATGGTTTCATTATGTATATGTTACTGCTATAACCATTAAAATTGTAAACCTCACATGGTATTGCCTGTTTTCCGGTGTTATGAAGTAACCAGGAAAGAAAGATGTATACATCAGTAAGGTATATATATTATTGTGTTTATTTCAAGAGACAGTTTACTCAAAGCGGTTATGTGAAATAATTTTTGAGCCAAGTTTACAATCTTTCTTCTAGTCCATTAATTTCAGTTTGATGTCCTAACTTTCATGATCTAAATGGCTTAGTTATAAACTTATAGTTTATTATGTCGTGGACGTATAATACACTTGTGTAGACTCATTTGGCCTTAGATTTTATGGAGCTGCTAATCAAAGCGTTGTAAATTCTCACCTTGTGTCTACATCGCTCAATGACTCGTGAGCGTTGGAAGTCGAAGTCATATGTAGACTATATTCAGAATAGTGACTCTTAAGGCCATCTTAGCAATGATCAAAATAGGAAATTAGATTTCATTTCAGCTGGGAAGAAAGATTTTCATAAAACAAAAAAGTTTATTTTGGTTATTTCATATGTTGCTTAAATGACTTTAAAATTCACTCATTCAAAAGTGAAACATATGAAGAAGTCATAATCACATGACAGTGTTTAAGTGATAGTTTTAGTTAGAATTACAGACGTCGCTCATGAAGGTAGCTAGTCTGCTTGGAGTTTTGACCGCTGGGACCGAGTTGATGTGTACCTGGAGTTATCACATGTACATACATCCACTGGCCTCAGGCTAGAATTTATGTGGTAAAGCATTTCAGTCAGGAAAACCATCCCTTTGCTATTCAGGCAAAAATAATTAATCAGATATGAATAGCACATTATCTCTACGTTATACGGAGACTCTAAGAATGTTATAGGTTAAAACTAAGGGTAAGACAAGATACTACACTCAAGTTACCAACGACTCAATTTTGACTAATCTGAAGTGGTCAAGTGTACAAAAATATGAAGATACGTCTATAATTAGCACTGAAAAAGGACAACTTCTTGCAGTCATTTAGTAGCACCCCTTACGAACCGATATAACTGGATTATTTAAGGCAGTGAGCATACTGATTTTTAAATGAAAACGCTTTGAATACTTTCATACATTAAATCGACTGACTAGGTTATTATTCGGGAAGGGAGCAACGCAGAAGAAACCAATGAAAGATGGTAAAGGAAAGCTAGTTGCCAGAGAGGACAAACAGAGGAAACAATGGGCTGACCACATCAAAAAGCTCTTGAATCGACCACCACCTGCGATTCGTCCAGAAACACCACCAGCAACATCAGAACTACCAGTGAACACAGGCATTCCGATGAAAACAGAAGTCTTCATCCTCAAAGTCATAAAAATTCTGAAATTCAACAAAGAAGCCGGACCAGATGGCATTCCCCAAAAGCACTGAAAAAAACACGCAGAACATCAACGGACATGCTCATAACACTATTGCAGAAGGTTTACAAGAAAGGAAGCAAAGGTGCCCGCCCGTTGACTGAAAGAAGGGCTACATCGTCAAACTCTCAAAGAAGGGAGACGTGACCCTCTGCAAGAACTGGCAAGCAGCCACGCTCCTGTCACTGCCAATCACAAACAAAATATTACACCGCATCAGACTGATGAGACTAAACATCTCTCCGGATTCAACAGCATCACGAACAGAAAACGCTGACTGGCCACCTGGCTGGTTGGCTGACTTCAGGATGAACAAATCATGTGCGCATCAAATTGCAACGCAATGCTACACTAAGCATCATCATAGAATACAGTGTAGAATGCCAGTCAACTCAACTCAACCTCAACATCATCGACTTCGAAAACGCATGCCTTTGATAGCATCCACTCGACCGAGTAGTAGTTTGGAAACTGCTTCAACACTACACAGTGAGTGCCACAAACACTCAGCAATCAACCTCATTCAACAGCAGCCATATATTATGTGATGCTACATGCCAAGTGATTCACAATGGAAAGCAGAGTGACACGTTTGAAGTGAAGGCAGGAGGGAGTAAGACAAGGTTGCCACCTACCATCACCGATGATCTCCCTGATTGTGGTCAACTGGACTGGACTCGACTGGACTCGATCATGAAAGAAACTGTGAGGAGCGAAAAGAGGGGCATACGCTGGCTGGAGGGATGAAGAGACCTCAGAAGGAGATATCAATTTTACAAACCACCACGATGATTTGTGTCTAATGTCTAATGTCACACAAACTCGAAGATGAACAGGTGAAAACCAACAAGTTGCTAAAAGAGGCGGGGCACGGCATTGAACACTGGACTTCCTTCAGGTGAACGTAGACAAGACGGAGGTTATGAAGACACCAAACTAACAACAACAGCACCAACAAAAACAATCACCAACCATCACGAATGGGAGAAATGTGAA